CTTAGGCGATGCTTAAGAAAACCTAAGTTTTCGTCCAGAGTCTCGATTATTCTTAACGTTTCAATGTAAATCCTAAGATTTTGATAGGAACGTTGGGCTTTTATGCAAGTTCTGAGACTATGAATTTCTTAACCCATGATTTCTAAAGCATTTCGCAGGGTGTACATCGCCTGCGTCGTATGGAAGGGCCTCGGTGGATAAACACAGAGTTGGCGCCAGCACACGCTCTGAGGATCCTCGGCCCTGCTCGAAGGCCGGCGAGCGGACTTCCAGGAGGCTGAGCTCGAGGAGAAGCATCAGTGATGGATGGAAGCACCCAAGGGGCGGAGGAGGAGGAGGAGGAGGAGGGGGAGGAGGAGGAGGAGGAGGAGGAGGAGGAGGAGGAGGAGGAGGAGGAGGAGGAGGAGGAGGAGGAGGGAGGAGGAGGAGGAGGAGGAGGAGGAGGAGGAGGAGGAGGGAGGAGGAGGAGGAGGAGGAGGAGGAGGAGGAGGAGGGAGGAGGAGGAGGAGGAGGAGGAGGGGGAGGAGGGGGAGGAGGAGGGAGGAGGAGGAGGAGGAGGAGGGGGCGCCGGAAGGGAGGAGTCCCAGGCAGTGGCGCGTGCTCCGGAGAAGCGGCCGCCCAAAGCTGCAGTGCGCTCGGCGCGTGCACAGGCTGATGCAGCACACGCAGCCGCAGTTTGGCAGCGCGCGTCAGTCTTCCTGCCCATCCTTCTCCTCCAGAACTTTTTAGCTTGCCGACGACGACGACGACGCCGCCGACGACGACGACACCGACGACGACGACGACGCCGACGCCGAGGCGCCGTGCCATAGGCTGGCGCATGGCGGCGTCGCTCGCGTGCTTCGGGGGCGTCGGGAGTGGTGGGGATGCTGCGACCGAGACGCGCCGCTCGCAGGCTCTCTGCGCGTGGCTGTTCCCCCTTGGCCCCCGGCCCCCTTCCGAGGGGGGGGGGTAATCGGAGGTTGATAGACCTCCTACTTTCCAGCCTCGAACGTATCCCTGTCCCTAAGATTGACACGCCAAAAGGCGATGACAATCTCAGGGATTTGCCCTCAAAAAAAATAAGGGAATCCCTAAGATCGGCATCGTGATGAGGAGGTGCCCAGCATAGGGATAGGGATATGTTCCAGGTTTGTAACCTACCCTGACACGTCGATGGGCGAATTGGCGGCGGCGGCGGCGAGCGAGGGGGGGAAGTGAGAAGGAGAAGGAGAAGGCCTTCTCAGAAGGCGGCGGGACTTCTCAGAAGCCCTCGCGCCTTCTGAGAAGTTTTTGTCTATCCCCGGGGAAGGCTCACAAAACTTCTCAGAAGGCCGGGGGGCTTCCGAGCCTTCTGCGAAGGCCCGCCTTTTCTCACTTTCCCCCCTGGGCGCGGCGCCGATGATAGACCTCCTATCCTGACACGTCGATGGGCGAATTGGCCGTCTTCGGTTCGCGGGAGGGCGTCGCGGCCGTCACGTTTGCGGGTCCGGGTCCGTCGGTTTCGGGCCCAGGCCTTTTTTTTCAAAAGGGTGGTTTGCTGGAAGGAGGTTTGTCCACCGCGGAAGATGGCTCGGGCCTTACACATTGTTCACGGCCAAGTCTTCCAAAGTTCTGATTTTTGGGGGGGCCAAGATCCTTTCATGTTCTAATTGTACTATCCTGGGCCTCTTCCTGGCCACTGGGGGACCGGAAACAATTCGAAACGAGCACACTTAGAGAATGAGCACGATCAGAAATGAACGACGTGCACACGTAGATGCAGGGCCCGTGCCCTCTAAGAGGCGGCCTCCCTCCAGGAAGCCTTCCCTCCCCCTCCCCCCAACCCCTCTGCGCGCGCCGCCGCGCATGATGATTGAACGACCTTCGCCAGGGGTCGGGAGTGGTCTCCAGCTGCCCGCCGCTGGATTCTTGCGCGCGACCGCGCCAGTCAGGGGCAACGATTCCTCCTCCTCCTCCTCCTCCTCCTCCTCCTCCTCCTCCTCCTCCTCCTCCTAGGGGGGTTGGGCATAGGGGGGGATGCATCGACCCCCAATCGCCCATCGATCGTCAACAGGGGCCCGATAGCCCCAGCCTGCCGAGGAACGTGCGGATTCCTTGTCGGGGGCCTACCGCCGATCTATCGGCGACGTATCGCCCGAGACCGGGTCGTTGTGTCCCCCCCTACGCCAGTCACGCCAGTTCCCCCCCTATCGTTGCCCCTCAGCCAGCCCGCAGGTGAAGAAAGACGTTGGCCGCGGCATCATGTACGTGGAGGGGCTGCAGGGGGGCGTAAGCAACATGCAGTGCTACGTCAGGTTCGCGCCGCTTCGACACGGCGGCGACGCCGGCGCGGGCATTCAAGTTCAAGGCTGAACATCCTTGGAGGCCCCATCTCCAGACCCAAGACCCACGGAACGCAGCCCGCGGCGAGATGGCCACGGGCCGTGTGGAAAGTGTGGTCGACAGCTTTGGGAGACCTCCGAGAGCGGTTGTCGTTCAAGGTTGAACGCTTCGTGCGGTGTCAGAAACCAGGGCCCAAGTCGACAAGGCAAGAATTTGCAGCACTAGAGATGGACTCCGAGCATCGCCAAGTCATCTTGACAGTATTGCTGACGTGGCAGTCGGAAGCACTATGAGGGCAGCTAGGTTGAGAATCGTAGCCTCAGCGCCAGCAATCCACTCCACTGCAAGATCCGCCTCTGTTCTGTATCTCTGTGACTTGAGCACCCAGCGATGCGTTGCCAGCGCACGGGGTGGCAACTGTACCCGTGGTCTGCGTCTGTGTTGGGTCTTGTCTGCACTCTCGGTTCTCTACGTGGTGCAATAATACGCTCGGGTTAGGCGAAGGCGTGTGGATTGGCAGTGGGGGGTACAAGATCAGCTGCGTGCAGCTGCTTCGGGCCCCGCCGCCGGGCGCTCTCCTTGACCCCTGAGCGCCTCTGGCGCTGGGAGGCGCCGGCAATGACAGCAAAACCGGCTGCGTGAGCTGATTCGCTGATCCCCCGTTTACTCACCCGATTTTCGCCCGACCCGATACGCCTGGGGCCGCCTACGATCCGAGTCGGTGCGATTCGATTCGCCAGCGGGGACCGCGATTCCGATTCGAGTCGATTCGGTTCAATGTGTTGGCATCGGCCGGGGCAAGCCAGAGATAGGCGCGGTGGTCTTGATCTTCATCATTCTCCTCCATACCCCTTCCCTCATCCTCCTTCCATACTCCTCTTCCTCGTCCTACTCCTCGTCCTCGTCCCCGTCTTCCTCCTCCTCGTACATTCGTCCTCCTTCGAAGGGGAGAACGTCATACAAATAAACGGTTGACGTTCCACGCGAACGTCTTGGATCTGCACTGGGCCCCCCTGGCGGCGACTCAGGCGCTGTCCCTGGCGCGCTCCGCGCGCCAGGTAGGGGGGCCCAGCGCCGATCCATGAAATTCGCGTGGAGATTCAATAGTTTATGCTTATGCAGTGGTTTGTTTCTCTCCTCCTCCTCCTCCTCCTCCTCCTCCTCCTCCTCCTCCTCCTCCTCCTCCTCCTCCTCCTCCTCCTCCTCCTCCTCCTTCCCTCCTCCTCCTCCTCCTCCTCCTCCTCCTCCTCCTCCTCCTCCTCCTCCTCCTCCTCCTCCTCCTCCTCCTCTCTTCTCCTCCTCTCCTCCTCCTCCTCCTCCTCCTCCTCCTCCCTTCTCCTCCTCCTCCTCCCTCCTCCTCCTCCTCCTCCTCCTCCTCCTCCTCCTCCTCCTCCTCCTCCTCCCCCTCCTTCCGGCCCTCGTCCACTATTCACTGCTCCTCCTCCCTCCCTCCTCTGACTCCCTCCTCCCTCACTCCTCCTCGCTCCTCGTGCTGCTCCCGGCGCCCCTCCCCTCCACTCGTGCCCGGCCTCCCCGCCGTGCCCTGGACCTCGTCTCCCTCGCCATGGCTGGTGGAGAGCGCGGAGGCGGCCGGTGGGGACGGGGGCCACACAGTTGTTTTGTTTTTGTTTTTTATCCGCGGGTCGAGAGCGCACCTCTTCCGGTCGAAGCTAAGCGGGCCGCGTGAAGCTTGAATTAGGCAGAGAAGAGGAGGGAGGAAGCGGCGGAGCCTCAGAGCGAGGCCGAGAGGAGGCATAGCCTCGGATACAGGCGGTGCCGAAGCCGAAGTGCTTGCAAAGGGACGCCTTCGGCAGGAGCCCGGTGGCCGATAATAAGGACGGGTCAGCCCTCCCAAGTCGGCGGCGAGCGAGGGGGAGGAGTTTGGAGCGGAAGGCCTTCCCAGAAGGCGGCGGGGCTTCTCAGAAGCCCCCGCGCCGTCCGAGAGGCCTTCTGTCTCTTCTGGGAAGACTCAGAAGGACTCCACAGAAGGCTGGGGGGACGTCCGAGCCTTCTGAGAAGGCCCACCCTCCTCACTTCCACCCCAGGACTCGCCGCCGAGATATGGGCGGGTAGCCTTCTCAAGACATCCCTGCCTGTTCGGTCCATCCGTATCCACTTTCGATGGCCGGCCCCGCTCGAAGAGCCTCGACAGGGGCGCCCAAGGGGCTTGCAGATCCTGATCGCGCATCCTTCCTAGCAGCTTTGACTGTCAGTTCCTTCGTCCTGGTTGGTTCGGGACGCCGGAGGCCTGGGTCCCTCTTGGGGTGGACGGCGAGGGAGGCTCGGGACGGGGGGCGGCACAAAATCTGTTGGGCGCAGCTGCCTTCGGCTCAACCGATGGAGCACGTGTCTCGATGCACGGCCGCTCCCGCCTCCAGGCATGGGAAGCAGGTGGCGTGCGGCCGAGTTCCCATCCCTTCCTTGCCCAAGCCAAGACCGGCTTTCGTCCCTCCCGAGTCTGAGGCAGTAAGGGGAGGAGGAGGAGGAGGAGGAGGAGGAGGAGGAGGAGGAGGAGGAGCAGGGAGGAGGAGCAGGAGGAGGAGCAGGGAGGAGGAGGAGGAGGAGGAGGAGGAGGAGGAGGAGGAGGAGAGGAGGAGGAGGAGCAGCAGGAAGGAGGAGGAGGAGGAGGAGGAGGAGGAGGAGCAGCAGCAGCAGCGGCAGCAGCAGCAGCAGCAGTGAGGAGGAGGAGGAGGAGGAGGACGAGGAGGAGAACGAGGAGGAGGAGGAGGAAGAGGAAGAGGAAGAGGAAGAGGAGGGGGAGGGGGAGCAGAAGCAGGAGGAGCAGCAGGAGCAGGAGGAGGAGCAGGAGCAGGAGCCGGAGCAGGAGCAGGAGCAGGAGCCGGAGCAGGAGCAGGAGCAGGTTCAGAGGAGGAACCGGAGCAGGAGCAGGTTCATGAGGAGGAGCAGGTTCAGGAGGAGGAGCAGGAGCAGGAGCAGGAGGAGGAGCAGGAGGAGGGAGGCTCATCCTCTCGCGATACCCCCGGCGGCGCCGCCCGGGCAAGGACGGCGTCACGGAGCACGAAGTCAATTCTCCAGCGGAGTTGCGCGCGGGGAGGGGGGAGTCACAGGGGCTCCGCCCGCGGGTGGGGGGGGGGGGGGAAGGGGGGGGGGAAGACAAGCTAGGCAAAAGTCGGGCCTGTCCCTCTACAGGGGGAATATTCGAAGGCGGGAAAACAATAGTCTGGGGACGATGTGTTGACCACTTGTTTTGCGCACGTTTGGGGTATGGTTGGGGAATGTCTAGTTTTTCGCCCAAGATCCTTCTGCAGGGGGACAGGCCCGACCTGAAGCGAGGCGCGCTCGCACCGTGCGAGGCGCTCCAGCAAAGGCCTCGCCCTCGATGGACGGAGGAGTTGTCCCCTCTTCCGCGGCGGAAGGCCGACGGAAGCCCGCGGAAGCAAAAGATGCCCCCCCCCCCGACAGCGCTCGTTTCGATTCCTCCGATTCGATTCGATTCGACTTCGATGGATTCCGATTCCGATTCGATTCGACCTGGGCTTCCGATTTGGATTCCGATTTCTTATGGAGGCATACTAGCCTGTCGATTTCCGCCGATTCGACTTTTCCCGACGCGGCTGCCGATTTCCGCCGATCCGATTCATGTCGATTGCCGATCCGACTTCTCGATTCGATTCCGGGCACTCCTGCCCCCCCCGAGATGGCAACAAGTTTGGCTGCGGGGTGTCCGGAACCCGCCGTAATTATGATTAGCACCGCTCGGCGAGGACCACCGAACAGTATATTCGGTCACGGTCATCTTGCGAAGAAGCAAACGCGCGAAACCGAAGCATCCACGGGGAACGGACATCCGAGCAAAGGCGAGGCTAGGTGCGCTCGTGCCACACTTAACATCTTAACTAATGGCCTTCGGTCCAACCCGCCACCGTGCCCGTGTTGAAGTCACTTCGGAGCGCTCTCGGGGGCCTCTTGGGGACAGTTTTGGAGCCTCTTGGGGCCCTCTTGGGGGCCTCTTGCGACTAGTAACTTTCACCAATGTCGCTGTTTGGGCCCTCAGAGGCCCCCAGGGACCCAAAGTACCCCAGAGGATCCCAGAGGCTCCCAGAGCCGAAAAGCTTTCTTCTCCTCCTCCTCCTTCTCCTCCTCCTCATCATCCTCCTCATCCTCTCATCCTCGTCATCCTCATCCTCCTCATCCTCCTCATCCTCCTCACTTGCTTCTCCTCCTCATCCTCCGTATCCTCCTCCTCCTCCCTCCTCATCCTCCTTCTCATCCTCCTTCTCATCCTCCTCATCCTCCTTCTCTTTTTCCTCCTCCTCCTCCTCCTCCTCCTCCTCCTCCTCCGCCTCCATCTTCAACCTCCTTGCCTCCTCATCCCTCCCCAACCTCATCCTCCGACGTCCTTCCCTTCTCATCCTTCCCTCATCCGTTTCCTCCTTCCTCATCTTCCTCCTCCTCCCCCTCCCCCCCTCTCCCCCTCCCCCCGAGGTGGGGAGACGGCAGAAAGAAAGCGAGGAGGAGAGGAGAAGGAAGGAAGAGGAGGAGAGGGCTGAGGCCGAGGGTGGAGGGGAGGAGAAAGGGGTGGGGGGGGGGCAGGAGGGGGAGGGGGAGCAGGAGCAGCAGGAGCAGCAGGAGCAGCAGGAGCAGCAGGACCAGGAGCGCGCGAAGGAGCAGGGGGCAAGAACAGGAGCAAGGGCAGGAGGAGCAGGATGAGAGGGGGAACGGCGGACGGAACGACGCCCGCGCCGCCGCGGGGGCTGCCGGCGGGGGTGACATTGCGACGCGGGGGGGTGGGTCTCCCGCGTGGGCCCCGAAGCCCAACAGTTGCAGGAACGCCGACGGGCTTCGGGGACCTGAAGGCCTTAGTGGGCCTTGGAAACGACTGGGCCGTTTTTTTGCCGGTTCCGTTCTGCCGTTCTTTTGCCGGTTCCGACGCCGTTTTTTCAACCGGTTCCGTCGCCGTTTTTTTACCGGTTCCGGCTCTGGTCCCAATCCTGGAGCCGTTTTTTTGGCCGTTTTTGGTCGCCGTTGTTTTGCCGTTTCCATTTTCAAGGGACACTTTTTTGGAAACAGTGAAAAACGGCCCTGCCGTTTCCGGGGCCCACAAAGCTGAAGGCATTTGGATGTCAGAAATCTCAGAATGACACCGCCAGATCCAGCGATTTTCTATATCAAGCAGATCGCGAGAACACACCAGGCATAACACAAAAGACAAGTTTCGCAAACTCCACCCCAAATCGAACATTCTCACCGGTTCCGCAACATGATCTCCCTAAATATTTGTTCCCATACCAAAAAAAACACAATTCCCGCAAACATAGAAACACCATGACTTCCATCCAACAAATTGCAACATTCAATGATACTGGAGAAAACAACCCGATCATGGGGCTATAGGGCTATACGGCTATAGGGCTATTGGCTATTGGGCTATAGGGCTATAGGGCTATAGAGCTGTAGGGCTATAGGGCTATAGGGCACCCCCGGGCACCTGGTCACCCCGGGGCACGCCCGGGCACCCGGGCACCCGGGCACCCCCGGGCACCCGGGCGCGCGGCGAAAATCGGCGGCAAACCTAACCTAACCATATGAATCCGCTAGGACCCCTACAGAGGCAAGCTCTGATTTGGGAATATTTCCACCAAAAAACATAGGAAAACAACAACAAAAATTGGCCCCCAGAGGCCAACCTTCGCGCCACGGAAGTCTATGGAAGTGCCCACGGACGCCCACCGAAGTCCACGGAAGTCCACGGAGTTTCGGGGAAGCTTTACGGTTGGTTTTGCGTTGTTCCGCAATGCGTTGTGTGTGTTGTTGTTTTTGTTGTTGTTTTCGTTGGTTCGGCGTCTCTTGGGCCGTCATGGAGCCCTCTTTGGTCGTTTGGGGGCCCTTTGAGGCCTCTTGGGCCGTCTTGGGACAATATTTGGGAGTCTCTTGAGCCGTCTTGGAGCGTCGGGAAGCCGAACAGGCGAGAGCGCCAAAAACCTTCGAAAGCCTTCAAACACCCTCGGCAAATCAATGATGTTGGCCTCTTGGGGCGCTCTTGGGAAGGCTCTTGGGGCCCCCTTAGGGCGTCTTGGAGGCTTCTTGGGCCGCCTTGGAACCATCCTAGGCGTCTCGGGGCGGTCTCTCGGCGACGGGGGGCCCTCGTGGACCGTCTGGCAGGCCTCTTGCGGCCCTCTTGGCCCATCTGGGGGCCTTGGTCGGGGTCCCGAGCAGATCACTCGGGGGGGCACGCGCCACGGCCGCCAGGCCAGGGAGATTTGGCAACTTGGGCGCTGGCCTCGCAAGATCGGGAGGGAAAAAACCACACAGACACAATTCGCCGTCGATTCCCCCGACAATATATATATATATATATATATATAAGAAGATATGGGAAGTGGGAGGGAGCACAAAAACCTAGAAAATATGAGAAAGTCGGGGGAATCCTGCTGTTTGTGTATATTTATTCGTGTGTTCCAGGGCCCCTTTATAAGAGCCCCCAGTATGGAGGATTGAGGCTTGGAGGCTTCGGCGAAAGACCTGAGGACACGCCCAATCCGTGCCCAGCGGCACGGAGGCGAATCCTTCCTGCCAATCCTTTCCCACTGCGCTGAATGTTCGCGGACGCGTGTCCTAGCCGACCTGGAACTCCACAGGAGACCCCATCGTTTTGTGCGCAATAGCAAGAGGGAAGTTGCATGCATAGGAGGAGGGGGAGGAGGGGGGGGGGAGGAGGAGGAGGGGAGGAGGAGGAGGAGGAGGAGGAGGAGGAGGAGGAGGAGGAGGAGGAGGAGGAGGAGGAGGACGTGGTGGAGGAGGAGGAGGAGGAGGAGGAGGAGGAGGAGGAGGAGGAGGAGGAGGAGGAGAGGAGAGGAGAGGAGAGAGAGGAGAGGAGAGGAGAGGAGAGGAGAGGAGAGGAGAGGGGAGGAGAGGAGAGGAGAGGAGAGGAGGAGGAGGAGGAGGAGGTGGCGGGTGAAGAGAAGGATGAGCAGGAAGAAACGGACGAGGATTAGGAAAGACGAGGACGAGGACGAATAGTAGCAGCAGGAATTGGAGTGGACGGAGCGAGGAGCAAGAGGAGCAGGAGGAAGGGGGAGGAGGGAAATGAGGGTGGCAGCAACGATGGAAAAGGGCACAGATGCAGAAACGTGGCCCGCGCTTGGGCGAAAGCGCTATCCTGCAAGACGAGAGCACAGCGCCGATCCAAAAATGAGTCCCACGCTGCAGCGAGAACACCAATCTTGAAACATCGAAACCATCATATTGCAAAAATTACGCAGGAAGAATCAACTCGGCCCAATCCTGTGTTCCAAATTGTCTTGGCGACGGGTCAACAATCTGCAGACGTGCGTACCGTAAGGCAGCTGAGACGAAGGAAGTGGAAGTCCCCATGGGGCCAAAAATTGTGTGAGTGATGTGCCGAAATGGGGAGGTGCTGCCATGCGGGCGATGGCACCGGCGCCGTTGGTGGAGCTCCTTCTGGCATATGGCTGCGAAGCACGTGAGAGCGTGCCGAACACACAAGCTTGAATGATGTACACTGCAACTTCATAACAGTGCACATATGTGAAAATGCTTACTTTCATCCTCCTCTCCCTCTCTCCTCCCTGCAAGTCTTCTCTTCTCTGCCTCTACCTCCTCTTCCTCCTGAGGCAGCGACGCCATGCGGACCCCGACCTTTGGGCCACAGCTGGAGCCCCCTATGGGGCCGTGAGGCGCGTGAGGGGTGCGCCACAATGAAGCACCGCGGCCG